TACCTCACCTCTGAACATTTCCATGACCGTAATAGGTACGTGCTGATGCAGGGCCGTTAGTTTCGCAATCTCTGCACCGCGTAGCTCGGTTTTGTCACGATGCTCGTATTGTGGTGCGCCACCGGGCCGGGACAAGGACCCTGACTTATGCTAGACGCGCAGACATTGCGCATCCTTCAGCAGGTTATCAAGTGACTGCGCAGCGTTCTAGTCTCACCTACTTGTGCATAAATTTGACACGGGTGGACATCGGGAAACTCGGGGACAGTCGACATACCGCACCGGTCGGTGCCCGTCGCTTACAGCCCTGGCACGAGTGGGTACGTAGCGCGGCACCTAGACCCCTGGCCCTGGCACGATTGGGTACGGAGGGGTCGGCAGTTATAACGCGAGCAATGCTGTGCGCCAGATGATCGACTTTTATAAATTATATTATTTAGGATTTACTGTTGAATGGTGCTGCCAGTTTTGGGGAAGTGATTGCTTAGATGTTAAAGAAACAACAATTTTTAATGTAGAATAACTCGTTATGTCAATCAACTGATTGATTGTTTATATTTGGCTTATGGTTTTCATCAACTCTAGCTGGGCTGGGGAAAGGGGTGTTTGGACACCCCTTAGGTTTTTCGCCTATGCCTATCTGAACAAACCGGTGTGACGTAGGGTTATGTATAGATGTTTAGTGCCGTTCATAGAAGCTAAGTGAGACTGAAGAGTCATGTCTTAATAGTTAATCTTTTTAAATTTAAGTTTTAGTTAATTTTAAACCTATGTGTGCCCCATCGAAGACTTTTCAATACAAGTCGGAGTACCGGGACCAATAATAACTTTTACCCACTACCCAGTGGAAGTCCGTTAAAACAATTTCAAATATGTTCATAGAAGCGTTAAACAACTTTTTTAAGTTGACCAGTTCATTTCAGGTCAAGTTGCAAGGTCACTTGATGTGACCCCGTCCCCACCTTCGTAAAAAAGTTTGAGAAGATACCATTATTACAGTTTGCACGCAATCAATTCCAAACTTTTTAAAAATGACGAGAACAGGATTGTCTAAAATTCATTTTGCTCGGTTTTTCCTATGTAAGTTCTGATAGGTACTGGCTACCGGGACCTCTCCCTTATAAGTCAATAGAAAACTGGGCAAATAATTCCTCCAGGGTGCACATAAAATCGCTCCTATTCTTTCAATATCATGCTTCCTTAGGCAATCGTTGACGTTATGGGTGTTGTTTTTGCCCGATTTAATTCCTTCTGAAAGATTATCAAAAGCCATCCGAGGTCGCAAACTGTTTTAACTCGTTGAATATTGGAAATGAAAAAGCAAAACTGGACTGGTATCATTGTGTTTGTTTCGTCAAGACGTATCGACTCATATGAAACAATCAACACCACCTAGTGAGGTCATCACGTAACCTTGACCTGAGGTCATATTTTGAAATTGACCTTTCAAGGTAAGCATGTATGTATTTCGAACTGGCTTGACGCGAGAAACACGATTGTGGCAAAATTATTTTCCTATCCCGACTAGGAAAAAAAATATTCGTTAGGTACATTTTTTACTTTGATAGCCTCTGGAGCCTAAAGTGTTGACAGGCCGCATCTGATGACACCTTATTAATGGAAAATTGAGCAACCTCTCCGGTTCTTTTCATATTTTTTTTTCGCTATTTTAGTTTTCGAGGTTTCGAGGTTTCTCGAGGATAATCGAGGTTTTCGAAGTCATGTTGTTATGCTCGAAGTATGTTAACTTTTCCCTTTTTTACCTCGGGTGACCTCAAATTTGGCCTGAGGAAAAATCACGGAAATGTTTCTTATTGATCTTTTTATGAGATTTCGAACGCTTCTTATCTTTTTCTTCTACGTGCAATGTGCATTATTAACTGATTTAGAGAGGTGCTCATTTTCAATTATATGTAATGGTCAATGGTCTGATAATTTGCGAATTAGTGAGCGTTATAGGTACGCATGTAAGGATTCAGAGATGTCATAGTAGCCGTTGGGGATGGGGGGAGGGCTCTTCAAAACTCTCCAAGTTGTGTAAACTGGGGGTTCGTTTCCGTTTGCGTTGCCGCAGAACGTAAAACAAACTATTCAAGTAAAAACTGTAATTTTCCCTAGGAGAAAAAAAAACGGACAACTCTTGATTAATTTTGGATGCATGTGGGAGAGGCCGATTGACCCTCCTGCCCCCTTACCCTTCGGAGTCGTCAGCGATAACAATGAATACCTATATCCCACCAATCTCTAAGAGTTTTTTTTTTCTGGGCCCTGGCAGCTAGACTGCGCCGCATAACAGCCGTGCACTCCGGGCGGACCTAAATCTCCTGATATCCTTTGTATTTGCCTTCGAAAAGATTAACATGGCTTTTTCCGATTAGTAAGTAGTGACGAATAATTTGGTATCAAAACCACAGGGATTTGATGCTTCGAGTTTAGCTTCGATCAACACTCAGCAGTAAACACACAAACGGTATGACACAAACTGCATCTAATTGTGAACACTTTTACAACTTCTATTCAGTAGCTTTAGCATTCGTGCATATTATGCAATGGGCACTTTTTTCTTTGTTGCTGTTCAGTTCAGCCTTTTAAGGCGCATTAATAATTACTATGCGCTATTGAGTGTTTCCACTGCATTAAGTGTCTTATTTTTTACATTGTTTTTCAACAATTTTAGCCTTATTGTTAACCCTCGCCCTGGCAGGGGGGGGGGATCGATGCGACCCCCCCCCCCTAAGGTTTTTTCAAAGATAGCGTAAAAACGGCAGCGCCACCAAATTTGGCACAGCGTATGGGGCAACCTTTTTACATATGACCTCAAAATTTCAGGTCCGGGTGACCTTGGGTCAGGTCACCAGGTCAGAAAAACCGGTACAATATCATGGTCAAATTTCAATTTTCTTTATGCACCTGTCCAACTCACAGTTTTGGACTGATTTCCCTCAAACATTCAGGATGTGCTAAGTTTACCAAGTTGTATAACATATAGTTCGTTTTTTATGTCACTGACCTGAGGTCAGTTAGAGGTCATTACATCGTAATGTTAAGCCTATGGGAAAATATTCAATTCGGAAAATAGGTACTGGAGACATCCGCTTCGTTCTATCTTTTTGTGCTTTGAAATCTTAGTACTCAACATTATATCACTTGGTGTTTCTTTGTTTGGTGTACTTATCCATGGATCAGGTCAAATGAGGTCAACTGAGGTCAAATGACGTTTGTGCCAATAACTTGTCACAAAATAAAGATACAGCTTTCAAAATGGTATCATTCTGCTCCTCTTGAAGGGCCGAGTCGAATGATATGCAATATTAAGCCTTTCAACCATTCTTAAGACTTAAGTTGTAGGGTAGACCGGGGCAAGTCGCCCCGCCGAGGTAAAACGCCTCACCGATTTTTCTCGGAACTGGCAAGGTTCTGGAGAAACATCATCTCTTCTATAAAACGTGCACTATATGATCATTATATGAGCAGACTGGAAAGAAATTGTGATGACTCTTTAGGAAGATATAGCCAGAAATGTGTTTTTGGAGTGATTTTTATGTTTTGTTGTCAGCTTATGCATCATGGCGTTCTTTTATGGTCCGCATCAGGTTAACGACTTTAATGTATTTTGAACAACTTTATCTAATGCTTATAATGCCGGCTTGGTTCGTGTTAAATTATGCCTTGCTGGAGTGCAAGGCGTTGTTCTCTGACCGAACTACGTGATGGGGTAAAACGCCCCAGTAGGTCGCGGGGCAAAACGCCCCATGGGGCGTTTTACCTCATGTGTTGTTCGGACTACCCACTTCCTAATGTTTGGTAGCTGGCTAACAGTAAGTTTCTATGCATTTATATGTACTTTTCTCAGCAACTGGATGTCAAAGGAAGTAGTTTGTTAACATTTCCATTGCAATAATTTATTATTTGGCCTTATGAGGCACGTGAAAAACCTGCTCATACAATGGTGTTTTAGCTGAACACCTGATAGGGTGGAAGGAGCTAACTTTAGTGCCGTGCTTCCCAAGGTCTAACAGGCCTCTCATATAAGATTTAAGTCAACTAGCATGTTTAATCTTTAATCTAGAGTATGGGGCTTCTTGCCCCAGGCTGTGGGGCGTTTTGCCCTGGGTTTGGGGCAAAATGCCCCATTTGCAGTTGCTTCACAAATCACTTCCTAGCTAGGAGTCCGATCATAAGTGAATGAATTTTAGGGGTGGAGTTTAAAGTAAAATGTCCAAAGAACGCATGTAGGTCAAATTTAGCCTTCCAGGTGATGTGGGACAAAAGTTGTGTAGCAAAATAAATTATCTGGGGCGTCTTGCCCCAGGCTACCCTACTTAAGATGTGCTTAGCTTTTTAAGTACCAAAACAGTATATCATTCGACGCGCCTTGACGTGCTGAGTTTACTGGTGCTTTTTTGCTCTATCTAAATTAGATCAAAAGTTAAAAGCGAAAAACTTTTGACCTGTTTTTAGCGAAATTTTTACATTCATACCCCCAAAACCCCCCTAAATATTGACATAGAGCAACCAAATTTGCACAGGGGCGAAAACTCCAGGGGGCCCACATGCCTACCAAATTTCGTGTTTCTAGGTGCCATAGGAGCCAATCGCGAGGGGGGTCGCATCCCCCCCCCACTGCCAGGCCATGTTGTGAAAAACGCCCTGCCAGGACGAGGGTTAATCACGTCCATTTTCAGGTCATAAAACAGTAAGCCCGTCGTTACAGTGTATTGCCCCTTTTCATCCGCAATCGCGTTCGATCATTGCAGACGACATTAATTTGATCGTCAGTCGTCGGGGACGATCAAACAGATCAACCAGCCATAAGATACATTGTATCAAAGCCATATGCTGTCTTTTTGTTTGCTGAATCGATATTCATTATATTTGTAGGTATGTGTTCCTGTGCCGTCAACGTACCAATGCTTTGTGAACACGTTATTACGATTGTGTGGAGTCACTCAGCGACTCGCGTCGCGCCCCTCTCGCTCCATCTTCCTCAGACTCCAGTCTCTGATCATTTCGCCGTTTATTTACAAATTACATCAAAGCTGGCTGGACGACAAACCAGACAGCTCGACACTTATGTACAACACGAGGATGAATGGCGAGTCCCATCGCAATCCTGATACAGGGACACACAGGGCATAGCTACCATGACACAATCAGGCAGAACGGCTAGACGAGAAGCCCTCCGTACGCCCAAACAACAGGAAGACAAGTCATTGTGTTCTCTTATAAACGCATGATAAAATCAATCATCTCGCTCACAAATATTATAACACGATACCTCAGCCACAACCATGGCGATAAAAACCGTGTAAAACCAACCACCATGGGCAGTCAATCTGGAATGCGTTAAAATGACCGCCTAAAAACGACAGCTGAATGGCAAACGCGACGCTCGGCTTAAATCACACAGTACAATCTTGATGCGAACTTCTCCATCTTAGTTGACGACGCTCGAGGACATGTACCACAGCGAACTTCTTTGTCCGGACGCCGATCGGCAGCGGACGCTGCTCTGACGGAGGCGGAATGTGGCTGCGGCTCGACGGACGGACGCGGCCCGCTTAGTCGAGACACGTGGTGCGCACGATGGCCTCTGTGACCCGGTACGGGTCGCAGTTGGAGCTGGGCCGCCTGTCCTCCAGGTATCCGTATCCCTCCTCGGCCACCTGGCGCGGGATCCGGATACTGGCGCCGCGATTTGCCACGCCTGTGGACAAGAGAACGCATCGGTCAGCGACAGAAACGGGAGGAAGTTATTGGTTTAGGGCAGCAGTGAGTGCCCAACATTTTAGCTCAATAGTCGCCCAAAAGCTTCGGGAAATGATTCATAAGTGGTGTGCTGGATCTCCTTCAAGTGGGCTTTTTTTCCAGCCAGGGTCGTTTATTGGTTTATTGACTATTTTTCCGGTGGACGACCAGACGCGCTCTGTCGATTGTTTGACCTTATTTATAGTTTGTGATCTGACTTATATCGGTCTCTCGTCACTCGTGGCCTTCGACCGGTACATCAGTCGCCTCAGACGCACATCGCTCGGTATGAGACGGTCCAGACAGAGCTGATGCGACAGCGGACAAGTCCGCCGGCCCAGACAAACACGTGACGGTAGGTTCACAGGCGGCACGTGACCGTCTGGGCGGGCCCACGACAAGGGATAGACCACGCCCCGCCCGGCTGATAGGCGTTAACGCGCAAAGGCTCCGGTATTTTCTAACTTTATCGAACCTTTGTTATTTGATTCAGTTAATTTAAAAAGCGGAAAAGTGGCGAATATTAAGTAATAGCCAGTCATTGGCTTGGTATGTGTTGGTCTAAATGCTGGTCGCCTTTTACCAGCCCGGTTCGGAGAAGCCAGTTGTTAAGGCTCGTAACACCGTTCCTTGGGGTGCGTGAGACCTTGAAGTCACCGACGTGGCGGGATACAACTGGCCATAACCGGCTAGACAGAAGAAATGACCGAGTGAACCGGCCTTGGCACGACTGGTGGTGACGAGCCAGACACGGAAACAAACGGGAAACGCTCGCGCAGCAAAATAAGGGTGAGCAGCTTCCCGTATTTGAAGAAAAAAAAATCAACATACGCTTCGTTATTTGTCAATACCCTTCCAAATTTATGAGATATAATTTGATATGCCTCGCTGAGGACAAAAGCGCTATGAACTGTATCGCTCGACAAGCAATCCATCACACCACTTGTTTGCGTTCTGAACTTTCGAAGCTATCTCTCAAGTGATTCGAGATAAGGGCGTGAAAAAGTTCGGACGGTGTTTTAGCGTCCTATCGGCACTAGATGTCCACGATGCCTATCTGTCTAACTGACCCACTTATGGGTATATTTGCACCTTAGCCTACTCAGCAGCGATCGGAGCTGAGGAGCGGGCGTTATCGTCACCGATCGGTCATGGCCAGGGCAGCCCTCGAGCCGTGAGTGGTCCCAGCCGTGTACCCGTGATGGGCTGAGGAAGCGATGGTGTACAGAGCACCTCAAGTACCGTATGGTACCAAGGTACCAGCTCGAAGGGGTAGGTACTGACCGGCGGAGAAGTCGTGGATGCTCGAGGTCTCGTGCCGGCCGGTCAGCCGGCGGCTGTTGTCGCGGCCCTCGTTCGGGTCGTACATCTTGATGTGGTGGGCGTGGTTGGAGCCCAGCTTCTCGATCGCCTTCTCGATGTGCCTGTGGAGCAGAGGAGACCTACAGTTAGCATCGACCGCGCCATTCCAACAGAGGCCCAATTGCGGGCCGTTGACGTCGTGTTGAAGCGTAGGTTTCCCAAATAACGGTCCCGTTTGACAACCTATCGGTTAGGCTTTTTGCGATAGGTACCTAATGACATCTTTTGTCCGACAATGATTGTTTAAATATGATACTGCGTTTCACAACCGAAATTACCGGTTCGCCTCGTCTCGCAGCTTCAGGTTAGCGCGGAACGCGAGGTCAGTGAGCTCGCGATCCGGGCCCCGGAGACAGTGGACGTGCCCTCCGCCCGGCCCCGCCCCGTCCGACCCAGTCCCAATAAGATTAAACAACTTGTCTCTCCCCCTCCCGGTCCGCGAGACGAGCGACCTTCAAACACGCCCATTATGGAGATGGCGTGATTTAAATTGCGTTGTTCCGGCCCCCAGCCGCACTCACGCCACCGTTCGTAAACTCTGATGACGTCAATGCTTTTGAAAAGCCCCTAGGGTCCAATACCGTTCCGGCCCCTCGTCCCAGCAAACAAGATACCCGGATAGCATCTTTTTGGTCCCTGGTGATCCTCTCCATTACAATGGGACACACAATATTAAAAATCAGCTTTGCTATTCTCGACCATATACCGGCTTCGGGCAGACACAATAGCGTGCTGCAATTTAGACAATTACAGCAACTATTTGGCCATTTGGTTTCTCCCAGCCTGACTACTAATTTGGCATGAGCTGCCCGTGTTACGTGGAACCCATCCCATCAGGCGATTCCATCTCAGCAAAGGCTGCCTCCAGCTTGTGCCGTTTTTCGCAACGGGCCGCCTCAGGCGCCGGGTCAGCCCGTTCCGGCCATGATCACGTGTGCAGCTCTTTTGGTGCACGTGACCGCCGCGGTGCCTTTCAAGGCACGCTGTCACCTCGTGATCGAGCAAGGACGCCGTGAGAGAGATGACCGGGAGAGGGGAGAGAGCTGCAGCTCGGCACTCCCTGTTCTGAGAGCTGCTGCAGCTCAGCGGCCTCAGAACCGGCCGGGCGAGAAATAACGGGACCTATGACGTCGGACTCCCTGCATTACCAAGTGCATCTGATGCATTTCTATCGCGGAATGGCGTCGCTACACTAGGCCGCCTTCTTCCTCCAATCCGCACCCAACAGCCCAACACCAAAGTCCCTCGACTACTTACGTGATTCCTCCCTTCTCGCGCATGGCCAGCGTGCTGAAGTTAGTGTGGCAGCCGGCGCCGTTCCAGTCACCCGGGATCGGCTTCGGGTCCAGAGACACGTTGATGCCGAAGTCCTCGGCGACGCGGTGCAGTAGGAAGCGGCCCATCCAGAGGTCGTCACCCATCCGGATGCCCTCAGCCGGACCGACCTGTCGACAAGAGTGAGATGGAGCGGTGAGATCGGGGTGAAGATAGACGGCCAAGCGATCGGCGACACGCTGTATTTAGGTCGTCTGCTGCGCTAATCGACGGCAGCAGGCGACCTACACTAACCGCTAGCCTTATCTTCCGCGCAAGGGAAACTGGTTTGCGTTAATGCCCCGCTGCGTCCAAGGGCAATGCTGACATCCGACACTCAGATACGGAAGACCGAGGCAGACGCAAACAACAATCGCATGCGTGCCTAATGCGTGACTGCACATCGCGCGCGGCATTATCAACACGCTGTTTTCGCTCTGTGCATCCGGCGAAAACATGACCTCGGCGCGTCGCTCTGCGTTCTCCCCGCACCCCTTCCTGTACATACCTGAGCCCCGGCTCTCACCTGGAACTCCCACTGCGACGGCATGACCTCGGCGTTGGTGCCGGCGATCATGACGCCGGCGTACAGGCAGGCGCGGTAGTGGCTCTCCACCACGTCGCGGGCGTACACCTTGGAGGCGCCCACGCCGCAGTAGTAGGGTCCCTGCGGTCCGGGGAAGCCGTTCTTGGGCCAGCCGAACGGGTGCTGGTCGGAGTCGAGCAGGGTGTACTCCTGCTCCATACCGAACCACGGGTGCTGCTCGGCGGCCTTGTCCATCACCTCCTTGCAGGTGTGGCGGAAGTTGGTGTCTGTAGAGACGGAGAAGGACGTCAGAGCTCAGGGGGCGGGGTTTGTTCAGAGGAATGAAGGTTTTTCTGTTGGATGTGTATATTGTTACCATACTGCCGTCGTGTTTGACGCCATTGGTGTGAAGTCCCAAACCCAGACGGTTGCAGTTGAATGTTTATTTAATGAGGGCATATGCTCCGAAAGCTTCATTAACATTATCCAATCTCCATGTGGAATACATCTGAATAAACAATTTGCTCCGAGCTTGTGACGCTCGAGCACGTCAAAGCGTTGCGTCATGTACTAAACCTGAAGTCACAAAATCATGTTTTTGGCAGACATATAAACACTTGGGCTATGCGGAACGTATTCCAGGGAACATCCCAATGTAACCAGACAGACTCTACTGCGCAGTGCGCCGCAGCCCCGGGTGCCCGTAAACAGAGTTTAGTCGCAATCAGCACGGGAGGAGAGTTTCACAAAGCGAGACGGCAGAGTTTACAGATCCCGGTGCCCATTCTGCCACCCAGTCAGACGAACCCCGCGGCCAGGTCAGCGCTAATGCCCGGGTCGCACGAACCGGGTCTGTACCCCGACCCTCGCCCTAGGGTCTCCAGCCACGCGGCCATCAACCGCACACCCAGAACCGCTAGACCACGAATTACGTGAAGCCAAGGACGTCTGGGCCCAACCCACCACTCGACTCCACCCACAGAGTTGACCTTGGAAAGGACAGGCGTGCGAAGAGCCCGCCTGTTGGGGACGACCGCAGGGGGCGTGTGCGTGTGTACGATAACACGTCCTGACGCACGAAGCGCACAGTCCGCAAGGTCAGATAAATTCCTGACGTGGGGTCGGCCCACCGAAGTCGTTCCGTTTGATGAGAACCTCTCGCTTTGAGGAGGCGTGGTCGCCGAGACAGGGGGTGTGTCTGGTCGCGTCGGTGGGACCCAGGGTCATAACCCTGGATGGAAGGGAGGAAGGGAATTAGGGAAGGTATAACCGGCGACGGGCGTCACTTCCACCGCAGTGCCAACTGCATGATCAATGTCTGACTTCCTAATCGAATGATTTCCTATGTTGCCCATAGCCTCGACTCTGTCGATGATGCAACTGATGCAGCGGCGGATGGGCTGCGATAGCGCGCCAATGCCAGAGAGCGCCGAATTGGGAGTTACGGCCCGGATGATGTCGAGATAGATGTTCGATAACGTGGCGGCAACTAGCAATCGCGAGTAGATTGCCGCACTTGATGCTCGATTTCAGCATCGGATGAGGGCTTTGTTTGGACGCTCGTGGTTGCAAGAGATTATTGCAAACCATCGTGCAGGGTTTTACGTTTTTAGATGTAAGCGGATTAAATGCCTACCCCAAGGACGTGACATCATAATACCACGCCAGCTTTAACTGACTAAAACTAACTCAAACCGAATGTGCTAACACCTTATTTGCAACCACATACTACCACTACCTTCCCCCAATGTATCTCAGTTGTAGGTCAAGGACTATAGCAAACAATTGTCTACATGGACGGTCCTTCTCTCTGACTTACCGGCGGGCTTGCGGTTGTGCTTGTAGGTCTCGCACAGCACCAGCTTGTTGTTGCCGAGGCGGAATGGATCCCGGTAGAGCGCCACGGGGTACAGGTACACGTCCGAGTTGCTGCCCTCCGCCTGACCGGTCGACGAGCCGTCAAAGTTCCAGATGGGGAGCTCTGCAGAGGGGAAGGAGCGCGTTAGAGGAGCGTGCACGAGAGGGTTTCCTGCAGGCAGACAGCTCAAACGTGATGGATAAGTATCGTCCTTGAGGGAAAGGGTTACAGAGAACGAAATGACAAATAAAATGACTTCCGCGTTTCTGCCAGAGCTTACATGATTGCTTCCTTCCTAGTGGAGGACGGTGCTTTTAAGAAGCCAGCGCCCGCGTCTGAACATTGAATTACCATTGGACGGTTACATCCAATGCCCAGTATTGACCGTTTATTATGTAGCTATCTGCCGTTGAAATAATTGCATAATCAGCTATCACGTCTAGTGTCCTGTCAGCCCGCTATAAAAAATGTCATCTGAAGCACTCTCAGAGAGCTCTATCGCAGCGTCTCTACCGCTATGATCATCAACTCTGAAGTGGTTTGTATACAATTTCGAGAGAGAGAGCTATCGCTCACATGACACTAAGTAACCAGTATGGTGACTATCGCCAACAGTGCAACGATAGAAACAATCTGGCACGCTGTGGTCCGCCTGTGAACCTTCTACATTTTTTTCAGCAGCCATCCTAGCCAACCAGACGATTTAAGACACCGATTGTTCAGGTCTCGACCTCACCATGTCCCCCATCTCACCTGACGGGCTCTTGGGGATGAAGTCCACCGTCTTGGTCTTGGCACGGACGTGCTCTCCAGTGCCGTCGATCCAGACGTACATGCATTGCGTGGTGTTGTCAGGTATCGGTAGACTCAGGTACCTGTGAACGCAGGGCAGGCGCCTGGTTGGCCGGGGGCAGCGGAAATACATAGTTAATACGCGGCGCCCGAGTGAGTGGGAAGGGGGTCCCGGTGGTAGGTACTTAGTGCGTGCACTAAGGTACAGAACTGACCCGAAACGGAGAGTGATGCCCAATGCATGCAAATTAATGGTTAGCTCAATGCCGTAGATAACGTAAAGGGGCACATGCATTTTTGTGGGGAAATCACATTATATGCTAACGGCTATTCAGTATTCAATACATTAGTCGACATTTGACAAGACGGCGGTAAACTACTCATGCAATATTGCAATAGTATACATGGCTGCCGTATAGAACGGTCGAAATCCTTCATGCAATTATGGGACGAAGTCGGAAAGGATTGCCTAGATAGTCCTATGCGTTGGGACACCATATCAATATAACAAACAGATAACAGTAAAACCATGCAGCTATGTATACCTAGACGTGAGAGCGTCATGCTCAACTCAACACCCGCCACCCACAAAACAAAAAGAAAATAAACTCACCGGTCCAGAACAGTCTTGTTGGTAAACATCTTGTCACTTTATATCTGCAACAAAAAGAAAATTTGTTAGCTTTCCATAAGCGACAGATGCTGTGCATTTTTAATGTTGATAGCTTTATTAGCTACTTTAGATCCCATGGAATACTTCCAACAAACTATACAGATGCGGTGTCCGTCTCCACCTTACGAACAGAGTCGCTCATTATTTTCTGCTCAGAGCGAAATAATTTGATACGTCGGTCGGAGGAAATATGCGTCGATGATCACTGTGCCTTATTGCACAATAAAGCGCAACGGGCGCCAATTTAGGCCGTTCCGATCTAGCGTTCGGGCGCAATTGAAGTTCATTTCGTGCCTCGAGGGCATATTAGCGTAAATTGAAGCCTGTGCCGCAGGAAGCGGTGTGACCGAAATGCCCTTGAGCGCCGGAAATCAGAGCATTGATGAACCACATGCAATCTGGGCCCGAGCACAACAACCGTTCAGGGCCGAACTGATGCATAGTCAAATTAGAGATTCAGCCGTATAATCAAAGTCCCGGCCTGCTAAATCACCGCTAGGTCAAACAAAAAAGGTTCCTGAACCACCCACACCCAAGCGTTTCATTTTGGAGATCGCTGTAAAAAAGTTCAAAGTGGAAGCTCTTCTTGCGCAAAACAAAAATTTCGCGGCAGTAAACCGGCCAAGAGCGGACAACCGTCAGAGGCTAGCGTTTAACCTCTGGCAGAGCCCGGAGAGTATCAGGAGAGAGTCTGAACACTGACCTAGCTTCCACCCTTCCTTCAATCATCGGCTGTTACTGCTAAGACTAGCCTGGGGCCCTGGAGGGCCATTTAGGCCAATGTTACTTTGGTTACGGTGCGCGCTTATCCTTGGGGTGTTGGGCGGCGACTGGGAAGGTAGACTGTACCGCCGAACACCCAGCCGGTTGGCCGCGGCAGTGACGCGGCGCTACGCGAACCGGACAGAATTTACGGTCGTTTCGACGGCACGGACCTGCGCTAACCGGACAGAATTTTGGACATACGCCACAGCGGCGCTCTGGATGTGTCCGGATCTGTCCAGCGCCACTCGGCACCCGCTCAGAGCCTGTCTGGTTGGTCTGGTCACTGTGGTCAGTGGTCATACCAGTCGGCTCGCTCGGCTCGAGCAGACCCTCCAGTGGGCGAATGAGTCCGAGGCCGAGAGTGCACGGTCATGGATCATGGACGGACCGAGTGATCGCGGCCCTGCGGTCACACCGGGCACTCCTTCCTCTCTCCGCTCCCCCTCCTCTCTCCGGAGCCCGGTCGGCGACTCAGTGAGAGGCCGGTTACTTGCAAATTGCATCGCTCCGTTGCTATGCTCAGCTCGCCGCTCCTGGGTCACCGCTGATGCAGCTCCACCAGCGGGCCAAAGCGGTGAAATAATACCGGCAGCTCGATAGAATCAGTCCAACTGTGTTATTGAGAAAAGTCAGAACTCCCGGATGTATTTATATTTCACTTCATATTTGAAGTAGTGATGCAAACTGGCTGGGCTCTACATCTGGTTTTGCATTAGGAACTGATTTAAAGGGACCCTCCCACCTTAACATTAAATTTGAGTTGAGATAGCCAAAATGGGGTCCCTGGCTCACAATTACCGGTTTCGGCACTCACAACATCGAGAAATGCCTTAAATCGGAAATATTGAATTTCAAAATTGCATCATTTTGATTCAGAGGGGCTAATGCTTAGGAATACCCCTCTGAATGTGTGACGTCAGCGCAAATATCTAACGATTTTTAAATGTTTGACTAAAACGTTTTGTAGTACGCGGTGGTATATGCTATTTGCGCGCAACATCTGCCGCAAACGCCGCACTTCTAAAATAAAGTCGCTAGAAACAGCGGAGATCCCAAAAAAAGTAAACAAAAGTAAAAGTCTAATATCTTGAAAACCGGTGAATATTTTTCGGTGAAATTTGGTAGATATTCGTTTTCGCTCTTTCTGAACCGAGCGACATCACTTTCATGCCAATTCATAAACTTTTTCGAAGGTGGGAGGGTCCCTTTAATGTTCATATTTTCAACTAGGGAGTCAATTCATTTTAGGCGCTGAATTACATGATACTTTATAATAGTAAATACCAAATTTAGTCCTTTGAAAGCCTCAAACCGATGGGATTAAAGCCCGGCTCAAACATCTTTGAGATCAATAATTTAGGTTCCACACTGAAGGAATCTGTAGCGAAGTAAGTAGACTGATATCTTGCCCATCATAACCGACCACAAATTTTGAACAGCAATATCTTGAGGCAAATAATGATCGTCTAACATTATGGCCATTATGGGCACTACTGCAAGTGCAAGCCAAAGCAGGCAACTGCGACGTTCCTCTTATTTTCACCCGACGTCACCCGAACATTCAAATGAACGACTCTCTGCGCAGTGAGTGACCTGGGCCCCAAATAACGCCATGGAAAACTACGGGTGCCGATGCGCACCTATGGGGAGCCAGGAACCTTTCCACGAGTCCGATGGAAGATTCCGTCCCTGAATGTCACAGCGTAGTGGGCCCGAAATAGTACCATGGAAGACGGCACTTGTGCACAGGGATTTATCTTCACAGGGTTGCAAGGAGGGCAGAACTCGCTCGAGGTTGTAAAATTCCGTCTCTTTAAACGGTGCATTAAAAATATTTCTTTTTCTGATACCATCAAGTGTTCACAAAATAATTTTGCAAGTAGCTTCAACTTTCGACAATTATGAGAAGCACGTAGTGTAAGAAAACTCGCGAGAGGCAACCACCCGACGAGACAGTGCATGCTTACAACAGTGCACGACCTAAATGCACGCCACTAAGACACTCTCACCTGCTGACAGACTTACCGAAACCTCGGAAGAGCTGAACACACGACCACCGACTCTCGAAGCAGACGAACGAATATGCGTCGGCCGGCCGGCTCCGTGCTTATAAGATGGGCGCTCCGAGGGCGGCGATGACGTCAGAGGGCCGGGCGGTGGCGTGGCCGGTCAGCTGATCGGCCCCAGGCGCGCAGATGCCGCCCGCCCGCCGACTGGTTTTTGTGACGCACATTTTCGGATTTGAGAAAACACCATGTGGTCGGCTGCTTCTGCGTCATATTCTGGGGAGATTACGCGCTTCCGCTATCGCTGGATTTCGTAACCTCAGTCAATAGTCGTAGAATGGGGGACACCCGAATTGGATAGGCAAGCAAGGTCCGGAGAAGAAGCTTATGCTCTTGACTCCAGATAATGTCAAAGAAATAATTTATTACGATGGCTCATTGAAACGACCTTAATTCGTCCCTTTTAACCTCTGAACCTGACCGATCACACTTCTCTGCCCGGCTAACATTCACCCCCATCACTCAACTGGTGCTCGAGCACGCTCGAGGAGGAGGGCAGCTCTGATAGAATCCACCTCCATGGGGATCGTCTGAGCGAATGGGTCACGTGCCCCCCCCCCCCTCCCATTGATACATCACCATCCGAACAGGACGGGCCCAGTTTCTGCGGCACCGGCCGGCCTGAAGCGTCTCGACCTTTTCCTCCCATCCAAACGTGACAATAAAATGGTGTAAATTGCACATTTTTTAGACAGTCAAAACCCCAATTAGACATCCTTTCAATGAATGAGCCTAAATTATATGCATCCAATCTACGTTTTTCGGCCGCTAGTCGTTTATTGTTTTCGTTTCCAGCACGAAAACGATAAACGACTTAACCCTACACACAGAAAAATATTGACACCGTTAGCGGTGTAATTGCACAGTACATATCTGAGCACTTGAGGAAAGTTAATTTAGTCCCTTCCCCGCTTAAATTACTCGCGCTTCCAAATGAATACCAGGAAGAAGGTAATAGAACACTGTTAGAAGGGTTGGGTGTTTTACTACATGTAGCAAAACACCCAACCCTCTTAACAGTGTTCTATTACCTTCTTCCTGGTGTTCATTTGGAAGCGCGAGTAATTTAAGCGGGGAAGGGACTAAATTAACTTTCCTCAAGTGCTCAGATATGTACTGTGCAATTACACCGCTAACGGTGTTAATATTTTTCTGTGTGTATTAGTGGCAGGCTCCTGGCTACCGCTATTAGTGGCAGGGGGGGGGGCTGTTTACGACCCCCCCTTGATATCTCGAGATCTAACGGGCCGATTTTCAAAATTCAAACGGCATTCGATTTTGCTCAACGTGATCTACATTTCTAAAAAATAAAAATTAAAAAATGTCAATAGGGGGGGGGGGGGGGTAGAGAGGGGTAAAAACGGGCAAATTGCAGATACATTTTAGACCGTTTATCACGGCCAGGTTTCTGAACCAATCTTAACGCAACTTTTGCCGATCGATAGAGAATGAACCAGGAATTCACATGGATCCTAAAAATATGCATTTTCAAAAATCATAGGCGGATACAGATCATTGAGATTGGGGGTACACAAAAAGTAGGGGAGAGCGGGGCCAGTTGAAACACGGGGTCAGATGAAACATGGCTTTATTTTCAACAATATGCAACATATGGCGTTGCCGACACCACTGCGCATCCGCGCTCGACCACTTCCTTTGTTAACGGCGTTTGGGCGGCAAACGGACGGTAATTTTGATTTGACACTTGTTTTTGTGTTTTTGAGGGGCGTTTGGGAGAAATCGTTTTTATGAATATTTTGTGATATCTCATATACCTTTGTTTGCTGAAAGAAGAACTCCTGGCTCCGGAATAACACCTTATTTGGCCCTTCATTCAGCATAATGCCGTCCCTCCAGCTCGTTTGACATGTGCTTTACGGCGCGTGCGAGATGGCGGGAGCGGATGGGGTCAATTTAAACGCTTCTCTGAGGGTCAGTTGAAACAGGGCCACAGGCCGTTTCAATGGACCCCGGTGACCTTTGCAATGGTTATTGTTCAGGGGCTGTAAACATTAAAGGAAATAGTCCACCTTTGAAATGAGCTTTTAAACTGAAATAGTAGTTTAATAGAGCTCAATTTTTTACCCCTTTTTCTCCAGCCTTTTGCTTGAAAGCACACTATAGCCTGATATATTTCTCATTTTTCTCATCCTCCCATTTTACCATAGTCTATGTACTTTATGTCACCTATTATGAGGAACTTTGCACTTTTAGCTTTCCAACGACCTATTGAATGTAGCATTTGGAAAAGTAAACCGGACAAAATATCTCCTTAAGAAAGTGGCCTTAAAGAGGAAAACATCCCATTGTTAAGGATAGGTGCAACTGACCCCATGGGCTGGTTCAATTGACCCTCGCATCGGGGTCATTTGAAACGGGCGTAGAGCTGTTTTATAAGCATGCGTTTGGCAGCAAAATATGTTTGAAACATAATTTTACATATCTTAGAATAAAGCCAAAAGAGCATATTTTTTCATGGCATTGTGCGTTTTTCGATATGACAACTAGATCTCGCTGTGCATGTCAATATATAAAAAGTGGTTCAACTGGCCCCACTCTCCCCTATAGTAAATAAGGTTTTTGTTGGTACTGTTTCTAAAAAGGGTGGTAATGGTCTTGTTATGTTACAATTTTCTTATGAGAGAACGACTACAATTGTATTGGTCAATGGTCATGCATAGGCGGTGTCAGGGCACCTATGTTGGGAGGTAAAACATAACCCCCCTTTTTGGACGCCTGGATCCGCCTATTATAGCAAAAACGTGTCAAAAGAGGATGCACAATAACTGTATATGTTATCACATAATACCTTTCATTCACTGTTCGTAAAACTGGTGCAGCATCGTGATCTTCGCCCAAATGACTCGCTTCACGAATAGGACCCCCCAATTCCCAGTGCTCTGGAGCCGCCCCTGGTAAAGTTATGAACTTGAAATTTTCAGGGAATGTGCCCAATTTAGTTTTAGGAAAAGTCAGAAAATTTCAGCATCGTAGCTTCAGCGGTTTCGGAGATATTCCCGAAAAACCTGAGGGGTGGATAAAAACAACCCCCCTGCCACTAATAGGGTTAAGTAGCTTAACAGCATGTGTAAAATTAAGATGTCTAGTCATCATAGAAGCTTGAAATAATAGAAATTGTATGTGACCTTTTCCCAAAGCTCATTTTTTACCGTTTTGCGGAAGTGGGTTAAAGCCTGTTTATAAGAAGTCAGAAGGTGTGAATATTCGAAATTTGAAGGACTGGTTATAGCGCAGTAATTTCGATGTAATGTCGCAATAACGAGCGCTTATTTCGGCCATCCCCGAGAGGAACACTTGACTCGTCTCTACACTCTGCAAGTGAGAGCGTCTCCACACTCATCATTCAGCTCCCGACCCCTCCCATCTACACGAGCCATTAGTAGCCCTGACTGGCGGGCCGTGACCCGCCCCGCCGCCGGCGGCGGCCAGTGAGTGTGCAATTTGCGCTCTGCTCGTTGCCGGGCGGTGTTGCCAGGCACGCATCACGCAGTGAGACGCACGCCACGGCCGTACCTCCGTCATCCGTAACGGTCCAGCTGGGTCCAGCCGACCACGCCTGCCGGCCGTGGCCCCGGCCCCGCCCCCCGCACCGACCCGGCCAGCCGACGCTGAGAAAACAAGCGCGCCGCACCTCGAAAGGAACAGTGCCGGCGATCGCAGGCTGCTAACTACGCGACGGTGGGCTGGACGTTTTACTTGTGATGCTATTGCGAGTAACGTTCATCATTCGAGTGCCCTTCACTTCTTGGTCGGTAGGTATATTAAAGTCATCTATCTACGTACCTATTTGTCGACAGTTAACATGAATTAATTGCCGTTCTTCTGCAGGGTCAATTTGTAGGGCCAGCCCAATTTTGCCTTATTCCGGAACCGGAGTCACCGTCAGTAGCGGCGGAACACCCTCAATTAAAGGGACTATCCCACCTTTAACATGGGGTTTGAGTTGAGATAGCCAAGTTTGCGGCGAGGTTCAGAAACCACTATCTATCTAGGTTGCAACCCCCGCGGCCTCTTGGTGTTGAAGAAATTCGTTCCCTTCATTTGAAAATGGGCCTTGTACAAGGCCCTATCTTCAACATGGAGCGACCGTTAGTGTGACGTCACCTCGTTTAGTCATTCTGATTTAAATGGGTTTGTTCGTTGAAAAATCGCTTAAAACTTGGTCTGAACTTTGTTGTGGTGCCTACAGAGTAAAAAGAATCAGCTTTATGACAGTAATGTGGCCTGGGGAAGGAGGTAATTTTGGGCTGTGACGTCACATATTTGAAAGTTTGTGTTTGGAATATGGGGAGCCTAAGATGTTTAATGAAAAATAAATGCCAGAACCGTGTTCCTGGTCATCCAATCTATAAAGTCGGGCACAATGTAACTGGTTTTAACAACATTTTAGAAGGTGGGATAGTCCCTTTAAGGGGGGGGGCATTGCCGGCTTTTGGTCCCATTCTTTCCATGCAACGCCCATAGGGCTAATGTTAAAATGCCAAAATCAAAGGGGGCACGGTGCCCCGGTGCCCTCCCCGTTCCGCCGCCTATGGTCACCGTATAAGACAGTCAATAATTTGCCTAGAGCCTAACGCCGGAGCCGGAGCCGCTGGGGCCAGCATATTTTGCCTGTTGCCGGAGCCAGAGCCGCAGAGATGTTTTACGTATGAGCAGGAGTCTGAGTCAGAGCCGATGTAGGCTATCGACTGGAACAATAATAGCCATTTAAAATCTTTACAGTTCCGTGTTCTTGTTTTGGTGTTCGTCCGGTTCCTACTGGTTTTTGACGTGCGATAAGACTCCTCGAAATTTGAGAATGCCTTGTGAAACTGACACATTTTTCGTCACTTGCACAAACAGCAAAGGTGTCTCTCGGGACCAAACATATCACAAGATCGTGATTGAGTAACACGCATTCGTAACATGAACCTTCATTTCGTCACTGGTACACTCTCAATCACACGTCTCCCGCGTGCCCTGGTGACGGCGCGATCCTCTCCGTCGCGGCGGGGTGACCCGAACGTCGTTCCGGTTCATTACGGGTCCAGCCGCGGCCTCGCCGATGAGGAGACGTGCCTCCCGCTGACGTCACTGGCCGCCTGGGACACCAGCCCTCCGTCGTGGGGCCACGCGCCGTCAGAGGTCGGCTCGGGTACCGCTGGCCTCAGTGATGACGCACTCGCCGCAGACCGTCTGTTTACGGTAATCGCTTGTGGCGATGCGGTGGGTACCACGTTTGTGTATAGTTTCTCCGCTGTATCCAGTTGCTGATATAATAGGTATTTGGTGCCAGGTCTTCGACTTGTCTTGGGAAACTGAAGGTGTTGCGAATGCGATGTTGCGCATAAAAGTGTGACAACCAAGCGACAAGTGACAGCCAAACTGACACCTGCGAAGTTTAGTGACCATGGGACGAGTGACGAGGAACACTGATGATATTTTAATGCCTTGCTATAGGGGCTCATTTGGTGCCGGCCGGAATCTGTCCAAGTTGAAAAAG